TTATGTAAAATGAAGTCAGTGTAACAAGCCGAGGTAGAAATAACCATTTCAGAGTGTTTACTAACTGATTCATCAGGGCAATTCCCTCAGATTTGAGCAGGCCACATCTATTTAAAAAAAAGCAGATCAAGTTTGAACCTTTACGTCCCAGGTGCCAGCTAAATAGCCTTTCAACTGGACTATGGAAAACACTATGGGTGGTCACTAACCCCTCAGTTCTGTCCATAGTATGACAATGAGAAGTGTTACCTCCAAAACCTGGCTTATATCTGCTTCATAAACAAGTTTGTGAAATACTGGCATACCATGATTATGTGTGTATTATCAAGAGAACACAAGCCTGGGCTACCTAATATGCAATTTTAATTTTGCAAATTATTTCCTCATTGGCCCCGTGTTCCTTACTTCTAAATGTACAAGTTTTTCATTTTGTTTTAAATGAACTGAACTACACTGCACTTGTCAAAGGCTAAGAAAACATACCCATTACCACATGCCAGCTGATAGGTGATCACTTGACAAACTGTTTTAACTTGAAATGCTGAACATTAAAGTGAGGCAAATTACCCCATTTCTAAGAGAACTGCTCACTGCTTTCTGAAATCCTTTTGAAAGTGATGAAACAGCTCACTCCTTTTAAAGCTGTCAATGAAAGTCAGCTTATCTAAAGAACCCTTCTACAGCAGTCACCACAATTTGGCCTCAAAGGACCTTAACACTTGTACTCCGGTAATTTAGGGTTCTGTGTCATTGATAAATTTTTAATATTTCTTTTCTCTTTGTCAAGGATGTCAACTGTTAATGTACCAGATTAAAACACTAGAGCTATCAAGGAAGTGCTATCAGTTCTTTTCTGCAATTCCACAGAATATAGAAGTGCTTCATTCTGCCTCTTACAGCACTGTATACAGCCTATGCAGTGCTGTCGCAAGAAGGCTCACAAAGAGCACTCACTTTTCACAGATCTACCGGGGGGGGTGGGAATAAGTGAAATGAAATAGCTTGTCCATCTCTCTGCTCTTTAATATTTAAAGCACTACAAAACTTATTTAACAGCTTCAGGATTTAAATTTTAGATCTTAGAGACTCTACAGTACTAGAAATTCTAGTTTTGAAGAGAAAGCTCATTCAAGACAAGCAAACTATTACTCTGCAGCTGCATCAGCATTTTATTCTTTCAGGCACAGCTTTTAACTAGAGGAATACAGATCTTCAAAGGCTGAGAATCTGGATAGGACAAGATGTTTCAAGGTTAAGTGTACAATATACCAACAATTTTCTCCCAGAAGCATCCAAATACATAATCTCTTCTTGTAAAACTGTATTAAACCCTCAGAGCATTCAAACACGAAGTTAACAGACATCAGAGAAGCAGCCACCTCCCTCCATCTCTCTGGGGAGTCTCACTCTTTCCAGAAGCTGAAGGCCTTTTGCATGTTTCTTTCTGCTGAATAGCTCACAACCCTTTGCCTTAAGCATTTGTAAGTTCAGGCTGCCTGGGCCTCCAATATGCTGACAACTAACAGCCTCACCTGGGAAAGAAAAGGGTAAAGAGCTAAGCAAGAACATCAGTCTCATATGCCTGAGTGACTACAAATGTCTTGAAAACGTTCTTTTTGCCTCAGTAGGTGATAGAGTTTATGACTTCCTTCCATCCCTTAAATAGAAGGGCAAAGACCAAGAACTGTATAAGGAATTGATTTACAAACAGAAAACCAAGGCAAACTAACAACTTGTAAGCCAAGTCAATGTAACTTGGCTACGAAAGATACCGGCAGAATCTATAAGCAACTTCAGAATTTGATCACATGTACTCATCTCCATGTGCAGTATCTAATTATTTTTTTTACAGTAACATTTCCAGAAGTATGAAGGATTAAACCCGTATTTTTGCTAAGGATTAAAAATAGCAAAAAGATCATCAATAAAAACTAGATGTGATGAACCATCCTCGCTGACTTACAGGTATCCTAAGATGTTACACACAGGAAAAAAAATCACATCCTGGACATGTGTTCAAGTAACACAGCTACAATAAGCCACTGACTGTAATTTGGATATGCTTTTTCTGTTTGTTGCTGTCCAGCTTTACAGTCTAAATTATGTAATTGATGACTTCTGATTTTTATTTAATAAATACACCAATAATTCTTATTAAGGAAATATAAGTTTTAGCAATTGACACCAAGTGAAGGTTAATATTGTTCTCACTGGAAAATTGTCTTTGTTCTAATAACAAAAGTTAGACAAAGTATTTTAAGTTTCTAATTTATGTAATCAAAACAGGAATAGCTGCATCTTTGTTTTAAACTATGAAAAAAAGTCATGAACAACAGGACAAATGTATCTCCTGGACAAGCATTCTCAATCAAAACTATACAGTTCTCAAGATGCCTTAGTTTCACAGGGTTTTGAGAACAGATTGCACGGGGGGGGTTATCACACTGTTTATTGGAAGAGAGGAAGAGCAGGAATTTGTGACTATCCCTCAGCACATTTCTGTCACAGTAAGACATTTTGGTTCCTGAGGTAAATTATTACATCTTTGAGTTTATGCGCAAAACTGATGGGTTATTAAATCGGTTTAGGTTAGATAACCACTACTTTAACAAATGCTCAAATCCTCCTACAAGTATTCTGATACCTATTTGAAATGCGTTGCCCTCTCAGCCATTTGTACTGTACAGTGCAAAGGTATACTCTAATTTTTTAGAAACGAGGACTCTTATTTGCAAGAGGTATTTGAGATGTTCTCTGTGTCATACTGTAAGGTGTGATACTCATCAGATACTTCTGATAACACTGTATCACTCGAACTATAAGGTACATAACTGAAAAGTTTTACCTGCTCAAGGTCCCAGTTTTAGACTTTTCTTCATGCTTGTCAGTATAAACACATTAAGTTTTAAGTACACTTTTTTATTATCTTATCAGTCTGCATATTCTTACCTTACTACAATAACATTACATAGACACATCTGTATGCTCTTTATTTGCGAAACTAATTAAAGATCAGCATATTCCGCAGGATTCAAGGCACCCATTCCTTGGATGCCTATACAACCGTATAACCTGAGAGTGAGAAAGCTCAATGACAACACCACTTCCCAAACTTCTCTACGAGTGGAAGGACAGAAAAGGAGGGAGAATAAAGAAGGGTAGCTGGGAACAGCTAATTCTATGAAGCTGCCAATACATTTGGTCTTACACTCTTGTTCCATTGCAATTAAAAACAAAGTTAAACAGCACATTCAGCTCAATGCATTATTGAATATATACATCTTTCTTTTGTAACAGCTGCTCCGAAATTCCTTTCAGAAGTGAGGCACTGCACTACAAGAACACAGTTCTACTACAGGCCTATATTTCCACACTGCAGGCTCAACTCTTTTACTTCCTAAAATCCAGACGGGAATGAGACCAAGAATGGTATAGCATTACACTATCCCAATCTGGAGCTCAACCCATTGACAGCACTTTAAAAAATAATCTAAATTATGTCTTAGTCCAAGCAAATTATTACTAAAATAGAAGTGCTCAATAACCCCAATCTCTGCATCTATAAAGAAACATATCTGCTGTCTGCTCAAGTCAAAAAACTCAAGCTTATTTATTTGCCTGGACTAGCAAGCTGAAGTATTTCACAATTTTGTTCTGTGTTAAGAGGTAAATACTTCAGAAAATACCATGTATGAAACTTAAAATATTCTCCAGTTGAAGGTGTCAGGAACAATGCTCAAAGGAAAATATTTAGGAATTAATCAACAATCATCAATTTATGCTCATTTTCACTGTTTCTTGCATAGTTTTTGAATTTGCTCTGGACTTATCTTCTCTTTTTTCCTACCTAGTTACCTCCACAGGATGGCTGAAAAAAGATTTCCATCAGCATATTTAATGAAAAACATTTCTTTCAAGCAAGGCACAAAATTTAGATTTATTTGATTAATCCCAATTCTAGTTTTACATTTAGTACAAAAACCAACTTGAACGTAGGTGTAAATACAACTTCCACAAAGTAGTTCAATGAGATTTAAAATCAGTTATGTATCCAGAACCATAAAGCACAACTAAAAGCAGCCCAGGATATACAGATTGTTTACCATAATCGGTGAAAGACCTCATAATGCATGAATATATTTAACAAACTCCAGTAATAAGTTATCTCATTTCTAATCTTTCATTTGAAACATATTTAGCAATTCTGTACCTAACAAAGAAAGCATTAAAGAATGAGAAGTGCAGATAAGTTTTACTCAAGCTGAGGCCTAAATGAAACACACAATCAAATACTAAATAACAGAACAATGACTTAAATAGTTCCGCTGAACATTAAGAACATAAATGTTAAGATAATATAGAAAAATAGCAAGAAGTTGAAAGACTTATTTACTTCTCGAAGAGCCTATGGTGTACTGTAGCTGCCTGAAATATTTTAACAATTATAGAAAACCGTATTTCCAAGTTTGGTACATTTGTACTTTCTAGATGACATACATTTAAGACAACCATCCATGAACTTATTTACAAACAGGAGCTTATTAATTTTAAAACTTGTATAAAAAAAATCAGTTTTGGCACTACCCATAAGGCAATGGATGATATGTACCTAAGATACCCAAACACATAATGAAAGCAAAATCAGAAGAAAATCATACATTTTAGCTTATTAAAGAAACCGTGAGACTTTAATTACAATTAAAGAAATTGATCAGCATTTGCAAGCCAATAAAACACCCTATTCAAAATACTGATGATTCTTTCTATACGGAACAGGATATAGCTTTAATCTGTGACGCCACTGTGCCATGTCTTGTAGGAGAATCTGGTATTTCTATGGTTATTAAATTATCAAACTAGTTTATTACCAGCAAATGGCAAAATGCTTAAGGAGAACATGATTTGACTTTTAAGCTAAGCAAAAAAAAAAAAAATATTACTCTGAAGTCCAGCCTTTGTTAACTATGTAAAAAAGTAATTTTGCCATTCACTTCACTGAGTAAAGACCACAGTTTCAAACTTTATTGATATGAATGATTTTAACAACTTTTTTTTTGCATTTCCAACAGCTTCAATGAGAGTGGAACCTTAAAATTCAATTTCACTGTTGCCACATTTGTACTGCAAAGACTGAAAATGTCCAGATTTCATAAACTATGGATTTCATTTAAATTTAAAAAATAATCCTTGCATTTATCTTAAATTTATAAAAAGATCCCCTCCCCCCCGAAACTTAAGGCAAACGTAAGTTTTATTGGTTATGTTTCTTTAAGTCTGAGCAGGTGTATGAGGCTGTTTAAATATCAAAAAAGCTAACGCCATATACAGTATTACCAACAAAAGTGAAGAATAAGGCAGCATGCGCCCTTAAGATGAAAAGAAAATTTAACTTTACAAGATGTTTAAATAATCCAAAGGCAAAAAGGTCTGTCTCCCCTAAGAGTATCTTCATAAAACATGGAAAGTTTAGAGGACATCAAGTTACTAAAATATTCCATTCAATGTTTATACAAATACATTACTACAATTATAAGTATACATACAATCAACTGACATCTCAGTGTTAACTAATTACTTAAATTTACAAGACAAACATAAATAAAGCTGTTAAAACAGGCAAGTACAGTACTCATCTATCATTCAGCACAATGTGTTTTTCATTTCTTTCACCTTGAAAAGAATCAGATTAGAATTGTGCGAAGTCGTTCTCCAAACCTAGAAATAAAATGAAAGAGAATTAAGTATGTCTATGCAGGTATTACACAGCATGGGCATATTCCAAATGCCTCAAGTCCTGTTTCCAGAAATGTAATTTACCATTTAGCAACCTTCTGTCTGCTCTCAGAAGAGGCCACAGTCTTTAAGGTTATTTTTAATAATGACATCGGTTACAGCATCGAAAACAAACTGCACATTTTTTGTGTCTGTGGCACATGTGAAGTGAGTGTAGATTTCCTTCGTGTCTTTTCTCTTGTTAAGATCTTCAAACTGACACTGAATGTAAGCAGCTGCTTCTTCATAAGTGTTTGACCCTAGAAGGATAAAAATTGCTCAGTAAGCAAACTGAGGAATAACAAGATGCATAGTGTACCCTTCAAGGAAATGGTTCTTTGGAAATAGTTAACCTAAACCTGAAAGGGAATAGTTCCACAGCCACTGCTTTAAGATACCACAAATAAATTACGAAGGAAACCATTTGGAAACATTTTTAAGAATAAAAACTAAGGAGACAATTCCAGCTGCAGGAAGAGTCTTTCCATTTACTTCAGCAGAAGACAGAACAAATCATTAATGACCCATCACTGCTCCCTAGATTAGGATATTTTGTTTCCTTCATTCAAATTACTTGCTTTCGATTTTTATGTTTTTAAAAGCTTGGGGTTTTTTTGCAAATTCAATTAAAGACATTGGGCATATGCATTCCCCCTAATTTTTACCTCCAATCTGCTATTTTCAGTACAATGGAACAGTTTGAAGTTACAATGAAATGATACATAAAAAACCTAAGACTTGTTGCATGAAATAATCCTCTTTTGCTATGTACTTCCTGAACAAGCTACCTCCTTCTAACATATATGTACACTCCCTGTTCAAATACACTCTCACGTACCCTAAGGGATTCCTGCTAGCAGAAAAAAATTACATCCAAGTACATAAATAGGAGGACATCAGAAAAAAAGAATGGACTAAATAAATTAGGCTGAAGAGTTGCAGCAGTTTCATGTAAATGCTTTCAGTGGACCAGCATTATTTCACTCAGTTGAAAATATGCCTCTGACTTAGCACTATTTGATTTGTGATCATAAAAACAACCTCCCCCTTAACCTTTACTCAATTGAAGTTTTTTTGATAGCTAAAGTTTAGAATTATCAAGCTCCCCCTGATTTGTGCATCAAAACAGAGGCAATTTAGCCAAAATTACTTGACACCTGCACCCCCCCCAATACCTGCATATTCAGGGTAGCAAATAGTGAGAGGACTCCTTTTGATTTTTTCTTCAAAAAGATCTTTCTTGTTCAGGAAGAGAATAATAGAAGTGTCTGTGAACCACTTATTGTTGCAGATACTGTCAAACAATTTCATGCTTTCATGCATCCGATTCTGTAATTGGAAAAAACACCTCACTGTATTTTAGACTTCAGTAGTAAGATCAGGATACACATTATTGAATAGATACAAATGAGCCAAGGAAGTTACAGAACTACGTTTCTAGCCTACAGAATCACATTTTACCACAGGGAAACACTAAGAATCCAAGATCACTACAAAGAACACTTCCACAAGCACAGTTTAGTCAATCTTTTTTCTTTCTTCTCATTTCCAGGTTTAAGCTGTTTAATATCTTAGGAATTTTTGGTGTGTTTTGACATTTTCCAGTATAGATATTCTACAAGAGTTGCAGAGTTACCTGAATTTGTCCTACACCGATTAGATGTTCTGGATACTGAAAATTAAATTCTGCCCCTAGCAGAGATTCCAGCATAAGAAAAAAAGAAAAAAATGGTTCTACAGGACTAGAGAATCAAGTGAGCAGTTTTTTTATCTCTTAGCATGATTTTTTAACTGTAGAAAAACTGAACAACGTGTAAGTACTTTGGCCAAGATCCAGGTATTAAGTAGCAAGGTCCTAGCTACGACCTTCTTTGACTACATTTGACTTGAAGGAGTTTTTCCTTCCTCTTTCCTCCCCAAAATATATTCTATAAGAAGTTGCAGAACTTGAGGATGAGCACAGAAATCTGTTAATGATTCACACACTACAGATTAAGCATCACTTTAGACCACTCTGTGCATACTGATATAGAGGAGTCACACCTTGAAAGAGGGTAAAGGAACAGAGGGAGTTGAAAGGGAGAAGGTAAAGAAAAATTTCTGCAACTAAGGAAATAAATCAGAGAAACACATTTAGAAAAAAAAAAAAACCTTCAGGCTTTGAAGACTGAGGAAAGGAAAACAAAACACAAAGGAAAGTACAAACACAGAAGTTGAGCAATTTGTTATTAGATACTTCCAGCATCCATAAAGAGACTAAAAATATATACTACTGATAACCTATCCTCCTGAATTTATGCATCCTTTAAAACATGAAAGAGTGTGGCTGGAAAGAGTGTCGTCTCATTACTCCTTCTGCGAATATGAAGAAAGACTTTGAAACCTGAAAGCATGAATTTTATCACCATTTCTCTGAGACCTTTCACACAAACCCCATACATCTTACACAGCAGTAAACCTCTAGAAGATTTATTTCTAGCTTTCCTTTCAAAACTTATTTAGTTTGAAAGAACTAAGGTTTATCCAAGAACATTCTTCAACATTAGAGTACTTGCCATTTCCTCGTCTTCAGCCAAGACCAAGTCATAATCACTTAATGCCACACAAAAAATAATTGCTGTAACACCCTCAAAACAATGAATCCACTTCTTCCGCTCTGATCTCTGGCCTCCAACATCAAACATTCTGCAAAACAGAAGTGCAAAGAAGAGAATGGACTTTAGAATTTCTAACTTTCTGAATGTTAACCAATAAAATCTGAAATTATCAGCTGTACACGTGATTACAATATTTCTAAAAAGGCATAAAAATATTTGCAACATTTATTACCATTTAATGTCTCAGTATAAAAAAAAAATCTATATAAAGCCTTAAAAGGCATTCCTGTACAACATTTTATAAAATATGAGAAAGGGCAAGATGAAAGTTAAACAAAACTACTTCTTTACAATATTGTATTTAATAATTAATTGTAATCTATAAAAAGTAAAAATGCAGTTAACTTAACTAAACGTAAACTAGATGAAAGTGTTATTCAGCCTGTAGCCCAAATGAATTAAAAACTTTATTGAGTTGAAAGGTACTGATCAACAGTGTAAGATTCTTTACTAGCAGCATGGTGTCCAACAGCTGGAAATAGTGCAATACTAAGGAAGCTAGATACAAGTAACACTGTTATTCTAGTATTCTGAATGTAAATATATGAAATCTAATCTTCATTTTTTCAATTGTCCATTTTAAGTAGGATTTTTTAAGAGATGCTAATATTTTCAAAGTTCTCTTAAAAGACAAAAGCATCACATAAGAATAATTATTTTCCCTCTAATTAATGCTTTTTTTTTTGAAATGCAGTTAAGGGGGTGGGGAAACTGAGCTCTGTAAGTGAAACTTGTTTCTTTTAAATTCTTAGCTTAGCAGAAAGAAAACCTTTTTGAATGGTTTATCTGTAATTGAGCAAACTGAAAGCCTTATGGTCCTTTCATTAGCACCACGTATTTTTAAAAGCAAGTGTTGCCACAACTGCTGAGTTCTGCTTTTCAGCCTATTTAAGCAACGAACATCGTTCCAGTACCCATACAAAATGGGATACAGGCCAAAAGCACACCAGGTATTTCTTATGGTTGCTTTCAATTCTTTTTTTAAGGTCACAGAAGTTGTTTGTGCCAATTCTCATCCTTGCAAAAGACTTTGACATATATTTTTTTTGTATCAGGGTGTTTACAAAAATATGATATATACCTGGAAAGCATCACAGATCACACACTTGTTAAATCTGACCTGTATTTTTCTTAACCCCCTTTCCTGTTTACCCTGGACTGTAAGACTGTGTGGGGGCAGGCAGACAAAAAAAAACCTCCTGATGTTAAGTTAGTGTACAACATGACTAGGTAAATTGCACTTGAAGAGGCTCAATTACAGTTGGTTTTTTTAGAAATCTTCAAGTGTTCTGAGGTGCAACACTTTTACTTAAAAAAAACCACAGTAAAAATAAAAAGACCCTTTGCCTTCCTATAAAAAATTATCAGAAACATCATCACCTCAAACGAGGTCTTCTACTTGTGTATGCTATTGTGCAAGTGACAATATTCATTGTCCAATTAATGTTCTACAATGGAATAATGTCACCTTAAAAACACTTTGAAGATTACTTCTGTTAGAATTCAGAAATTAAAAAAGGATTCTTCAGAAGTGTTCCTTACCTTCAGAGACATCTTTGAGGGGAAATCTCTGTCTGGATATCAGCCTATATACATGCAAGTCAGCCACCTACTCCTAATTAGTTCTCAAATAGTTAGCGATGGCTGTATCCATAGGAAGGTATTTTGTACTTCTGTATCTTAATAATTAATACCTTAAATTTTAGTTGTTACTTCCAGCAATTCTAATGCTAATGTTTTATAATTCTGTATTAAGACCTGAATTCATTAGGTTATCAGAAGAACATTTCTACAAAATAGGGTGTTCTTTGAAGGCAAAAGCAGTAAATAATCACTCGACTTCTGAAATAGTCTATATGAAACATAATGAAGATGACTTGCAATTTGCATTTGAGATTGAATCAATAATCAAAGCTAGGCTAAGTGCTTCATAGAGAAGGTAGAAATGAGGCTCAATGTCAAAGAATCTAAACGCACACAGCAAAACAGGAAAGGAAAACAACTCAAGTACACAATATTGCACAGCTAGTCGCCTATGTACCCTCATCTTGGTATAATCAAGCCTTTTATGCCTTTAGTTCATCTCAAAAGTTCTTTTCAGTGTTATGCAAGAGTATACTTCAAGCCCTTCCAATAACTCTACGTTATCACTATCTCCTAAAGCACCTAAAATTTAAACACCTGCTGTTCAGGTGTTTTACGTAACAGCCAAATACTTCCAAAGACCTGTCTTTAGTTTGCACATTTTATAGAAGTGTAACCATGTGGTCTTTGTAATAGACTTTACAGGACTGTAATGATACGATCTTTTTAAGAGCCCCAAAAAATCAGTACAGACTGGAAGTAGCCACCTGCAGACAATCACTGAGTGTAAAAGAACTTAAACCCATCTACAATAGGGTCTGAACAAGTAACATTAGTAAGTTAGTGAGAAAATTGATAGCTCCTCAGAATACTGAAGACCTCCCTTGAGGCTTGGCTAAGGACTACTCTTATGTTTGCAAGAGGTTCATTCCCATTTAACAGCTATTATTTTAAGGATTAATATGAATTTTGTATACTTAAACCCTAAAACAAGGAAGCAAAATGTATTTCTACAGTCCTGATGGCCTTGAAGCATCCACGTTACAGTGCTCGCTATGCATTTACATAAAAAAATACCTTCCATTAAGATACCAAACAAATATATTGAATAGACATGACAACAGTCTCTGCACAATTTAAATGCAGATGCAATGTGAGTTTTCTTCCCATTCTTCCAGATCAGGAAGAGGTAGGGTATTAATGCATTTCAACTACATCCTGTGCTTTTATCATGAATGTCTTTGGGCATAAAATGTTCATATTTTTAACATTATTTTGTCAATCCCACAAAACAGGAGATGTAAGCCATATTAAATTACTAAATAAGGTACTGAAGTACAACACACTTTAATTAAGTTCTCCAGGAAAACGTGTTTACTCTTTCATACAACACCAGCAAATATTCATAAGCCTCCAACTCTCCAAACTGAATTTAAAGGGACGAATCTGACAAATCAACAACTATTTAACATGGCATAAAATTGAGCATTTTGAGATTTTAATTTACATATAAAATATCTTTATTTTACAAAAAGCTTCCAATACACTCAAAGCATTCATTATTTAATATCTGCATATTTATTTCTGAGTTATTAAAAGAGTTTCAATAACTCCGCATGTCCCTTCAGAAAATTCAGCCAACCACGTAGAATTTTTTTCATAGGGGAAAAAAAGAAAGGATGTGGGGTGTCAAAGTTGTAATTTAATACATTTGTCTAATGTCACTGTACTTTACAGAAAACCGTAACAGACAGATGAACATGCAGCATGATTTACATACTTAAAATGAAGATCTTTGAATGTAAAGTGAGTTTCCACTATTCCTGTAGTTTTCACTCTAGTCCTGAGAACATCCTGTTGGGTTGGAATGTAGCTGGTTTGTGCTATCCTGTCCAAGTCATTCAAGTAACTGAAGGTAAAAATAAATACTGCTTTCAGCCATTCATAAAATAGCAACATAATTACAAAGAAGTTCTAGGTCCATTCATTATACTGTGCTTGACTTACTTTATAGAATAGCTTTCTCTGAGATAAGGCAAAAAACAAGACACATACTTGCCCTGAATTTTCCAAGGTTTTTTGAAATTAGCTTTACAGACAAAAAAGATATTTCATTCCAGAAGAAAGAAAACATATCTAACTGACTCCACTACAAAGAATTATTCTTTTGAAATCCTAAAATGGTTACTTTTGAAATCCTAACAGGGTTCCACTTGCACCAATGTTATCTGCACTCACTGGAAGAACACCTTCATTTTTTGCAATATACTGAACTACTAGTTATTTTGAGTAATCAAAGCGCAAAATTACCCTGGATTTGATAATAGGTATGAAAATATTAACTCTGTATTTTAGCCAGAATTAATGTGTTTAAGAAAATGCTTAATACTTCAACTTTCTATGAAGAATTTATAATTGCACACTTTTTTACAATAGCATACTTTCATTACCAAAACTCCTGCAAAGCAGAACATCTCTAAAAGCCATACAAATCTTATTGTGCTTTTTCCATAGCAAACAGGGAAGGCATTATGATGTTCTCAGACTGTAACCAGAAGTTTGCAATTTTAAGAATACAACTATATGGCTGAAAGAACAGTCTTATGAAATTGGAGGCAGAGTTATCTAAAACAACAGAACAGAACCAAGGAGGTTATTAAGACAAAAGTGATCCATATTGAAGAAAGTTTGTGCAAATGGTATCTCTTAAGAGATCTGTCATCTTGAGCTCAGCTTGTTGCCATCTACCCTCTGTACCCTTAGAAGCACTTCAGCAAACAAGTAACAATGATGCTGAAAGTATCAGTATTATTTCAATACAATTTGATAATATTACTATTCATTCAGCGTGTTTATTATGTTACAGTCTTCTCAGTTACCACACCTGCATGTTGGTTGTTTACATTATTCTAAAGAACCTTATTTTAAGGAAAGTGAAAATCAATTTCAAACACTACAAATTAATTTAGAATGATAAGGCTTTAAAAAAAATTGCCCTATGAGACCAGTATCACTCCTACATTGTTATTTACCCTGTTATCACTCCCTCTGGACTCTTTTCCTTCACTGACTTAACCATTACTTGCCGCCATCACATCTTATTTCTCACATCCCTGATTCCTTAATACTTTACTTTTTCAGTGAAGTACCCTAGCATAGAAGACATCCTGACTGTTGCTTCTGCTCAACATACTTCTAACAGACTGTTAATTAACAAAGAAAAAGCAGCAACGTTGAACCACAGAAGAAACTACTATGAACATGACAGTAGTATACTCAATAATACAGAATCACATCATGCAATCAAGTTTCCTGGACATGTTCAGATACCAAACAAGTATTTGAGTCATGTTTTAGTAATAAAAATGCTCTGAAAGTTATTTCCATCTTCCTCAAGAAGATGAAACAACTGATCAGGTCATGACTCATTGATAATGATACCGCATCTCTTCCTTTCCAAGCCTGAAGCTTACTTGGAGCATTTTGACCTAAGCAGACAGTATCCTTCTGCAGATACTTCTAAGCTTTCTACTTATATGGGAGCAGAATTCCTCAAAAGATAACACTTGCTTTAGCTACTACTTACAAGATGAGGAGAATCTTGTCTGTCACATACTACTTACTAAGCAGCAGAGTCGTTAAGCTGGTATTCTCTAGATCTGTTGAAGCAAGCTTGAACTCCACTATCTTTCCACAGTCTCTTGATGACTCCAGCAAGCTCTGAAGTCATAAATCCTTCTTCTGCTGCTCCAGCTAACACAAAGAGTTGACGAGCATCATCCTTTAGGATGTAAACAGAAAGTGAAGACACAAACACTGAGAAATACAACAGAAATATTACCACCTAAAAAATACATCCAGCACATTAATTATTCTCTTAACCTGGTAAATGTGAATGCAACCAAACAAAAAAATTTGAAGGAAAACAACTGGGTTTAGTGCTCTGCATAGGGTATTAATTCCCACATTTTTCAACAGAAAGACTAATAAATTTAATTTCTCATTAGCTGATAAAGCTTCTGATCTGTTTATAACTGGAATTAAGCTTTTATAAACAGAAGTAGTAACATTTTGTGCTCAAGTCTAAAGTAAACTTATTTACTTACCAAATTATCACAAACTGAACAGAATGGTTACAGTGCACACTAGAACCTTCAGTAATGCAGATGTATATTAACTGACTGAAGACAACACATTAATCACTTAAGTTTCAAAAATCAACTTTGTTTAAAAGTAACAAATGACCACTTTTTACCAAATCTTACATCAGGAAATAGAAAATTATTTTTTAAAACCTTTCTAGATAAATCAGTTACAAATATCCATTACCATAATTGTTCTACAAAGATGCAGTTTTCTCAGTAATGCAGTATCAAGGAAATGTTAAGATTTTTGAAAGAGCAAATGCTGGATTTGAAGACTACATATAAGGGCTGCCTTTGAGAGTGAGGCTAATGGAGTACAGGATGTCAATTCACCAGTTTCCTTTAACAGAATTTGACCAGTTGGCTGCCTTCATCCAATTCTGAGTGAGGAAAGAAACTTTAAAATGTTAGCCCTGTAAGGCAATGGAAAAAAGAAGATAGCACGTGGCAGAGGAAAGTGACCCATACACCTTAGTACTCTATAGCGGGTAGCTACCTAACCTTGGTTATTAGTTGTACATGATCTAATGCCAAGGTATGTCAGCCAGAAAAATCAGCGTATTTGTGGCTTGTAACTACTCCTACAGCATGTACTGTCTGTCCAATGGTTATGAGAACACACGACACTGGAAAGCGGGAAAGAGAAAAGAGAGACTTGGGCACATCAGCCAGGAACTGAAAGTATTTCAGTAAAGAGAAGGATTTTAAAAAGCAACATGTAAGGTTACTCTCATAAATGGTAAGTTAAAAATACAGAGGCAAATTTGTAGAAAAATCCAGTTCTGTCACCTTTGCTGTTCAAACAATAAGCTGGTGGGAAAACCAAACCAAACCAAGTATTTCAGGCTAAGCACAGGCAGTAGTGATTGTTCTAAAGATACCATCTGCTGTAAACTTAAATAATCAAAGACCAGGACAGGGAAATTGCTTACAGATGGATTCAGTAACACTGCTATTCACAGCCTGAAAACAAAAAGCTTACATGCAGTCAGTCAACTCGAGGCAAACTTGAAGAGATTTTTATATATACGTATACATATGTAGTTATAAGTATGATATACATATACATATATCAGATATCTGATATATAGCATTCTATGATATAGTTGAGTCTTTTGAAAGCTATAGTGGTTACAAATCTAAAACCAAGCATTTATCGAATAAATTAACAGAATACTAATTACTGTACATGCACAGGAAAAATTGTGGACAACTGAAAATTCAATGGCTTGCACTAATAACTATATAAAAAAAGCCTAAAGCAGTAAAGATCAAAGGGCTGGATAGTCAGATCTCACAGAAGGTCATGTGAGCAATATGCCTGCACAAAAGAAACCTGAATGACAATTCTGCTCCTGAGTATTGTTTGTGGATGCAAATACCAAGGACCTAAAATTCACAGAAGGCAGCAGATCATTAAGAAGAGCCAACATATTAAGATACATGATGGAAACAGCTTAGAAACTAACAGTCAATTTTGTCATGAATGATTACGTCATTTTATATCTAGCATGTTCTGACTTTTCAAACACTCCGAATTTGCTCTGTTTCAAACAGTTCTAAAATGGGACGAGGTGAGGGAGCTGAAGGGTGGTGGCAGAACAAGAAAACCTATTTCAGCCCAAACATTAACATACAAAAGCGTTTGACACGGTCTCCCACAGCATCCTTGTGGCTAAATTGAGGAAGTGTGGTCTGGATGATCGGGTAGTGAGGTGGACTGTGAACTGGCTGAAGGAGAGAAGCCAGAGAGTTGTAGTCTATGGGGCGGAGTCTAGTTGGAGGCCTGTATCTAGTGGAGTGCCTCAAGGGTGGTACTGGGACCAGTATTATTTAATATATTCATCAACGATTTAGATGAGGGAATTGAGTGTACTATCAGCAAGTTTGCTGATGACACTAAGCTGGGAGGGGTGGCCGACACGCCAGAAGGCTGTGCTGCCATCCAGCGAGACCTGGACAGGCTGGAGGGTTGGGCGGGGAATAACTTGATGAAATATAACAAGGGAAAGTGTAGAGTCCTGCATCTGGGCAGGAACAACCCCAGGTTCCAGTATACACTGGGGAACGACCTGTTAGAGAGCAGTGTAGGGGAGAGGGACCTGGGGGTCCTGGTGGACGACAGGATGACCATGAGCCGACACTGTGCCCTTGTGGCCAAGAAGGCCAATGGCATCCTGAGGTGTATTAGAAGGGGGGTGGTTAGTAGGTCGAGAGAGGTCCTCCTTCCCCTCTACTCTGCCCTGGTGAGACCTCATCTGGAATATTGTGTCCAGTTCTGGGCCCCTCAGTTTAAGAAGGACAGGGACCTGCTGGAGAGAGTCCAGCGCAGGGCAACTAAGATGATTAAGGGAGTGGAGCATCTCCCTTATGAGGAAAGACTGAGGGAGCTGGGTCTCTATAGTTTGGAGAAGAGGAGATTGAGGGGTGACCTTATTAGTGTATATAAATATATAAAGGGGGAGTGTCACGAGGATGGAGCCAGGCTCTTCTCAGTGGCAAACAATGAAAGGACAAGGGGAAATGGGTATAAATTGGAACACAAGAGGTTCCACTTAAACTTGAGAAGAAACTTCTTCTCAGTGAGGGTGATGGAACACTGGAACAGGCTGCCCAGGGAGGTTGTGGAATCTCCTTCTTTGGAGACATTCAAAGCCCACCTGGACACGTTCCTGTGTAACCTTATCTAGGTGTTCCTGCTCCGGCAGGGGGATTGGACTAGATGATCTTTTGAGGTCCCTTCCAATCTCTAACATACTGTGACACTGTGAAAGTGGTCTCTATTACCCCTTTCTAAGTATGAACATTACTGCAAGACACAAGTTCGTATGCACTGATCAAGTCCTATTTTCATTATCAATGAATGCTAGATACTTTCTTTTAATTATACTGGAATGGGGTAGCTTTCTCCCTGCATATCATCATTTTTATACCAGATTTCATAAACAAGATTATATAAAGAAACTAATTTAACCATCTCTAGCTCATTACAGCAAATTTCACATTCAGAAAATGGTCTTTATTCCTTTAAAGTACATTCACTAATTGTCTCTCAAAACAGAGTTTCTACTTCAGGACTGAAACATCCTGTAGGACAAAGGAAAATGTACCAGTCTTGAGATGGACCATTACTGAAGCTGCTGGTGTAATCTGTGCTCTCTTGATTCAAGAGCTTTAAAAAAGAAAATGTTAAACTCATTGCTTTACCTTTAGTCTTATGACAGAATTAACAGGGTATGATTTTCCAAAGAAACTCAGCCCATTTAGAATAAAACCCTCAGAAATGTACACAAAAAAGTCTGAATGTAATGGTTTTCATCAGGAATGACAATTCTGAGTTTGTTTTTCTGTGTTGTTTCTTTTTCCTCAAAATAAAAAGGATAAAATTGTAACAAAACATTTAAAAAGCTACATTATAATAATCAAGGAGTATGCATACTTTTTTTTTTTAAGCGAGACTGATGTATAACTCATGCTCTGAATTCCTTTTTCCATTTCTGACACTGCAATTGACGCTCCACAGCAGTGTTGCTCTGAAAAAAGAATTTGGACTACCAAGACCTGCCTAAGTGCAAACGGATGGACAGCTATTTTAAGATTAGCCCTGACAAGTTTGCCTCATCATTTACATAGCTCTTTGAAGTTGATAAACTCAAGATGACTTCAAATTGATATCATGAATAAAATAGCCTTCAAAATCTTCTTGTTAGTCATTTTATCTGCTAACACCTAAATTGACTTCTCCTCCATTTTCTCTTTCTATGTATTTAGTAACACAAGTCTACCATCTGCCTCTTTCCAACATTAACTGCCAGACTCCCGAGAGGACTTCATTGTGCAAATGCTGAACTAACATGCAATAAGATACTGTTGTTGCCCTGGAAAACTTTAGTCTTAAGGAACGACATCAGCAAATGAGAGAGTAATGTAGAGACGGATAGCCAATGAAAACAAAGCTTCTGTTACTTGTGTTTAAAACTGAAGAGGTGTCGCGTAGAATTAGACTTCATATACAATTTTATGACTCACTTTACATAAACTTATGAATGTTTGTCTTCTTTTGACAACCATACATAATGCATTTCACAAGGTCACTGAAAATATACACTAGTATTACTAGTGCTAGGCTAGTTCCCACTTCAGAAAGTGAGCATTCCATATTCCAGCATTAATTTCTATGGAGAGAAAATGAAAATACACATCCTGAACTAAGTTTCAGTGCTATGCAGACTAACAGCTTTGATGATCAATTTGCGCACTCCAGCACAGAGTGTACTCCTGCAACCAAAGGATATCCAAAACCACTTAAGCTCAGCATTTTAAAGAGATTCAGAGCATCTAACCTCCCAACCAGATACAGACATAATCAGGGTCACCACAAGTAAAATTATAGGGTTAGGACTGGAGAAACAGTAAGCCTTAAAAGAACCAATTATACAGACCAGCTTTAATAGCTGGAATGGCAAAGAGACCCATCAGAGGCTTGTTCATGGACCATTAGATTAAATAAGATGGAAAAAGAGCAGAAAAGCTTAGAAAAGGTCTATTCCTTGGTGGAAAAGCATTAATCCTTAATATGATATTAAAAAAATAAAAAAATGGGATATCAGCAGCAGAGTTATACCCATGTAAAATACAGTCCTCCACACTGGAGATTAGTATGAAACAGGATTAAGCTCAGAGGCTGAAAATGTTTCAGGCAATCCTGTGCCTATCACCTAATAGAGAAATACAGACAGTAGGTAGATACCTACCTATTTAAGCTGTTTTTAAGCAACATGAAGATGTCTAACTGAAATGACTTACAGAACATAATAGGCCACCAGTCCATACAAGTAAAGAGACCTAAGTGCATAGCTTAATGTTTTTCAAAACCTCCCTAAGGTTCTCCAAATTTAGGTAGAATTCGGAGAATTGTATCTAAACAAACAGCTGTTGTGAATCAGCCCAGTGTTGACTGCTGTGTAGGTCACCTTGCCATGTATAAAGACCAATGACATTTAGTTTTCAATTAAACTTTTATCTTATAAAGAAGATTACTGGATATCTGGAGATTTTTTCGGACAATACTAACAGACAAAAATTGAAAATGAATGGGTATTTCAGCTATGTATCTGTGTGCGTACTTCAATACTTACAGCCCTGCCTGGATCACCAAAGTCTATCTTCAACCTCCCCATTGCTCTAATGATAGCAATAATGGACTGAATGGTGTTACTGTAGACAACAGCTTTGTACTGTTTACATTCTTCTTCTGAATAACCAGCTTCATGGATGATCCTATGAAAGGAGAAAAAACATAAATTCTCTATTCAAATAAACAAAATATTTCTCTAGGACAGTATTTCACCATACTTACTTCATTTGTTTGACAATTGTGCTTTTTCCTGATTCACCAGCTCCTGAAAAATAAATGTGTGAAAATTGACTAGACTTTTAGTGATCTTTGGAAATACATTTAGTCTCTGTACTTCAAATACATAACCAATATAGAAAACTTCAATAATTAAAAGTACATTTGCTAAAAATGAATTTTTAGTATAAAAACGTGTCTTGAGTCAAAATTAAGACACTGTAAGAACAAATCATTCCGTTCTAAAAAGTTTTTGCTTGCCTTTTTACAGAAGTGAATATATTCTTTACAGTCTGCCAGGTGTTTCTAATGCAAACAGGTATCAACTGTTCAATGAGTCTAAAGCTCAATTCCTCAAAGAACCTTTTAAATAAACACCTCACCAAAAAACCTCGTTTATAAGTACTTCAAATTGCATTAATGGTCTTCAGTATTGCAAATGAGCAGCTTCAGACTCTCCACTGTTCTAGTCCTTGTAACCATCTTTTTGGTCCTTGCAAGAATAAACCAGCTCCTTTTTGTTGGAACAGACTGCAGGGGGTTTGCCAAATGTGCTAATACCATCCTCAATGCTTTAGAAAAGTGATAAAAAAGGCAAACTATGTTAAAATATGAAGCTTACAAAAACAATTAGCATGTCTACCAGCACGTATGACAAACTGCCTTTTGCTGCCTCAGCCACCTTCATTTACTGTACCTACACATAGGTCTGCTGCTTTCTCTGAAAAAAAAAACATGCAACTCTTAAGAGGTGTGATCTAATCCCTTTAAACAGCACACTCCCAGTTTGTGTGTGCTTGTGCTGTACCCTCCCTCCTACATTTCCTCTTTCTCAACATGGTTTTGCAGAAGTGAGTATAATCTTTATAGTCTATGGTGTTTCCAATGTAAACATATCATCAATTGCAATACAATCAAATAAAACTCTCTTCTTCAGAGGTCACTGTGACCACAGGAAGTCACTGATAAAAGCCGTATTTATTCATCTTAAAAAAAGGGGCAAGAAGGGGAATCTGAAGCATTATGAAAGAGCCAGCCTCATCTCAATCCTCAGACTAAGTATACAGCAAATACTCTTGGAAGCAATTTCCAGGCACGTGATTGAGAATTGCCAGGATGGCTTTATGAAGTGCAAATTGCACCTAACTTGGTAACTTTTTGTGAGGAAACAGCTGGTTTGGGGGATGGAGGACACCAGTGGATGTGATTTACTCTGACTCTTAATAAGGCTTTCAATGCCACCTCCCACAGCATCCTAGCACCAAATCTGATAAATATCAACTTCAGGGTGTCTGAAAATCTGCCAGACTTAAAGGCTTGTGCTCAACGGCTTAAAACTTACCTGGAAGCAACTCAGATGAGGCAACCTTCAGGAGACTACACTGGGATATTAAGAGTTTAACACAAAATAGTTAGGGTTTGAAGTTCCTTAAGTTCCAACCCCCTGCCATGGGCAGGGACATCTGACACTAAACCGTGCCACCCAAGGCTCTGTCCAACGTGGCCTTGAACACCACCAGGGATGGAGCATTCACAACTTTCCTGGGCAACCCATTCCAGTGCCTCACCATGCTCACAGTAAAGAACTTTCTCCTTATATCTAATCTAAACTTCCCCTGTTTAAGTTTTAACCCATTACCCCTTGTCCTATCACTGCAGTCCCGAATGAAGAGTCTCTCCCTCGCATTCTCAGAGGCCCCTACAGATACTGGAAGGCTGCTATGAGGTCTCCATGCAGCCTTCCCTTCTCCAGGCTGTACAGCCCCAACTTTCTCAGCCTATCTTCATATGGGAGGTGCTCCAGTCCCCTGATCATCCTCATGGCCCTCCTCTGGACTTGTTCCAACAGTTCTCATGTCCTTTTTATGTTGAGGACACCAGAAGTGAGGTCTCATGAGAGCAGAGCAGAGGGGCAGGATCACCTCCTTCAACCTGCAGGTCACACTCCTTTTGATGCAGCCCAGGATATGGTTGGCTTTCTGGGCTGCGAGCGCACACTAAAGCCAGCTCCTGTTAAGTTTCTCATCAACCAACACCCCTAAGTCCTTCCCCACTGGGCTGCCCTGAATGTCTTCTCTGCCCAACCTGTAGCTGTGCCTGGGATTGCTCCGACCCAGGTGTAGGACCTTGCACTTGTCATGGTTAAACTTCATGAGGTTGGCATCAGACCACCTCACAAGCATGTCAAGGTCCCTCTGGATGGCATTCCTTCCCTCCAGTGTATCAACCGAACCACACAGCTTGGTGTCATCAGCAAACTTGATGAGGGCGCACTCAATCCCACTGTCCATGTCACTGACAAAGATATTGAACAAGATCGGTCCCAACACCGATCCCTGAGGGACACCACTCATTACTTGTCTCCAGCTGGACACTGAGCCATTGACCACAACTCAGTGGTCCGTCTATTAAAATGATGGTGCTATCGAGAGGGTCATCAAGAACCTAGAGGCCTGAGCTGACAGAAATCTTATGACAGTGAACAGAAACAAATGTGAGGACCTGCAAGTATCACAGTATCACAGTATGTTAGAGATTGGAAGGGACCTCAAAAGATCATCTAGTCCAATCCCCCTGCCGGAGCAGGAACACCTACATAAGGTTACACAGGAATGTGTCCAGGCGGGTCTTGAATGTCTCCAAAGAAGGAGATTCCACAACCTCCCTGGGCAGCCTGTTCCAGTGTTCCGTCACCCTCACTGAGAAGAAGTTTCTTCTCAGGTTTAAGTGGAACCTCTTGTGCTCCAATTTGTACCCATTTCCCCTTGTCCTTCCATTGTTTGCCACTGAGAAGAGCCTGGCTCCATCCTCGTGACACTCCCCCTTTATATATTTATATACACTAATAAGGTCACCCCTTAATCTCCTCTTCTCCAAACTATAGAGACCCAGCTCCCTCAGTCTTTCCTCATAAGGGAGATGCTCCACTCCCTTAATCATCTTAGTTGCCCTGCGCTGGACTCTCTCCAGCAGGTCCCTGTCCTTTTTAAACTGAGGGGCCCAGAACTGGACACAATATTCCAGATGAGGTCTCACCAGGGCAGAGTAGAGGGGAAGGAGGACCTCTCTCGACCTACTAACCACCCCCCTTCTAATACACCCCAGGATGCCATTGGCCTTCTTGGCCACAAGGGCACAGTGTCGGCTCATGGTCACCCTGTCGTCCACCAGGACCCCCAGGTCCCTCTCCCCTACACTGCTCTCTGACAGAATAATCCATGCAACAATACACACTTGGGCTAAGCTAGGGAACAACATTGCAGAAAACAGCAGTGGGGATCAACAACCTGAACAGTGAGTAGTTAGCCCTTGTGGCAATGAAGATCAACCACATACAGGGCTGGTGCACTAGGACAAAGTTAACTTTCTTCATAGCAACCCGTATGGTTCAGTACTTTGGATCTATGGCTAAACCAGTGTTGGCAAGATAATAGTGTTGTTGTTACTGCTGAAAAGTGCATGCACAGCATCAAGGCTTTATCTCTTTTTCACCCTGTACCCACCCCTAATGAGAAGGCTGCAGGTGGACAAGAGGATGAGACAATTGACCCAAGTTGACCAAAGTGGAATTCCGTACCATATTATGCCATGGTTCACAGTAAAAGTTCATGGAAAGGAGGAAAAGGGGACATTTCTGGTTGTGATGTTTGGTATAACTTTTGGAAGGGTGATTACGAAGAATCTAAAGCACTAAAACACCCAAGTCTTACGGGGAGTGGCTGAGGAAACTGTGGTTGTTTAGTCTGGAGAAAGGGAGGCTGTAGTGAGGTGGATGTCAGTCTCTTCTCCCAAGTAACAAGTGATAGGCCAAGAGGAAATGGCCTCAAGTTGTGCCATGGAAGGTTTAGATTGAATGTTAAGAAAGATTTCTTCACTGCAAGCACTTGAACATGCTTCTCAGGGAAGCAATTAAGTTACCATCCCTGGATGTATTTAAAGACATGTAAATGTCGTGCTCCCAGCCATGGTTTAGTGGTGGACTTGGCAGTCCTGGGCTAACAACTGGCCTTTATGATCTTAAAGGTCTTTTCTAACTTAAATGATTCTGTGATGCATTCCATACACGCTGAGGCCCTGCTTTTCAGGAGGTAGCCAAACATCTGCCTCCCATCAAGATGGAAGGAATTAATTCTTCTCTTTGCTTGTCTGTGTGAACTTTTGCTTTTCCTATTAAAACATCTTTATCTTGATTCACAGGTCTTTTTGCTTCCTTCTGTTTTCTCCTTATCCTTAGGGAGAGGGGAGTAACCAAGTAGCTCTGTGAGTGGTTGGGTTGTTTAGTCTGAATAAACCCTGGCCAACTGCAATGCTGCAGTGGCAAAACTGCAGTCAACAAGTCAAAAAGAAGCTGCTATTCCCCAGCAGTCAGCATTCATGATGCTGTATCCAAGTACCGTGTACTGTTTTTCCCCCTCCTCAAGCATCCAGTAAATGAGGAATTGATAAACTATACAAAAACCAGTGAAAGATCTCTTAGTTGATTAAGGGACTGGTGCACAAGGCATACACAGAAAAGCTACACAGGACTGGGCTATTTAATCCTGGAGAGACTACTGGCGTGTGGGGTGGGGCTGTGTGCTGGTGAGGTGGAGTATGTGTCCAATTGCTGTCCTCCCCATAAAACCCACTTAAGACAGCTGAAGACAGAAGCAAACTCTCAGAGGTACACAACAAAAAGAAGCGAGACAATCAAGAAGCTGCAGCACAAACAGTTTCATAGAGATATAAGAGGGGACCTATCTGCATGGAAGAGGTTAAGCACTACAACCAACTGCACACAGAGGAAGCAGAAACACAACCTTGGAGATCTTCAAGATTTAATTGCACAAGGCTCTGAGCAACCTTATCTATTCTGATGTTAGCCTGGCTTTGAGCCAAGGGTTGAGCTAGATGCCCTCTAAAGGTTCCTTCCAACTTAAAATACTATTTCATACCAGTACAGCAGATTATTTCTATACTTTGTCTATTGTAAAGCAATGTCTTTGGGATAGTGTTCAAACCAAACATGCATCTTCATGACAGGCTCAAGCAAATTCAAACCCAGCTGCC